GTGGGGCTAAAATTATAGGTTCTTAGGCTGGTTTTGTGTATCGTGTTCATGTCATGCTTAGGTGATTCAAACATAATTAAAACAACATGAAACTTGTATGAAAACATGTCTATAGCAGATAAAAACTTTTGGGAACAAATCCAACATATATAGCATGATTATTTGCATAAAATTCATATCAAAAACCCTAATTCATGCACATGAGCTTGAAATAAAACACAAATCATCTTTCATCAGATTTAAACCACTTTTAAATCATTTTTAGTTCTTAATTACTTCTGTAAAAATCATTCTTAAACTTTTTAACATGGAAATACCTAGTCTTTATACATATAATACAAAGAATTGACTTTTATACATAAACTAGTGAATTTGGCTCTAATAAACATGTTAAAAAGCTCTTTAAAAATGTTTTAAAAACTGGGAAGGGGATTAGCAGAGATGAACTCGCCTGGGGTTTGTAGAAAAACATTTAAGAAGCCAAGCCAAAGAAGATCTACAAGCCAAACGCCAAAAATCCCGCAAAAAATCCACTTGAAAGCCTCCAATCTTCTCCAAAAATCAAATTAGGGTTTAGAGAGGTTTTGGTGGCTGTTAGGGTTCTTAGAAAAATCAAAATACCATGAACATATGATATATATATACCAGGAATCGGATATGGGCTTTAGAAAACCAAAACCAACTCAAAACAGGAAACTGTGCTTTTGCAGGTTTCACGGTCGACCGTGGCGGTCGACCGGACTGGAATTTTCTAGTTTTTCATGTTTTTGGCCGTTGTGCATGTTTCGACTCTTTTCTTCCTCATGTATAGACTCGTTCATACTCAAAATACATGGTATCATACTCATATACCATTTAACTATATTTATCAGAATAAATATCCATAAATCATAATTAATCTCATATTAATTATATTAACATGAATTTTTAGGGTTTTACACTGTGCTTGCGAGGGGCGGAGGATCTGGAAGAGGAGGATGCCAAATACTCCTCGAACTTCAGTTGGTCGAATTCGTATTCGACCACTTCTTTAACCGGGATCCGGATCCGAGATTGCGACACGACAGCCTCTGCAGAGAAGCTGTTGGCTCCCACTGTGGTCGCCAACGTGTTTGGGTCAGAAATTGTTTTCTTCATTGTGATTGAATCTATTACAATTTCAGGTGTTACAATAAACTCAACAAAAAGTTAGTCTTTTTATAAGACTTTTACACAATGAAAATAACTTATTACAATCTCTTTCAAACAACACACAGATCCTATTTATTAGTCTCTGTTTGCGTGGGATCTTTGCATGTGCCGGGGTTTATCTGTGGACCGCCTACAGATTGGATCCAGTTGTCAGAATAATTGATCAGAGCTCCTAATTCACAAAGGAAGTATTTGCTAAAGAACTGATATCGACCAAGCAAAATCAGTACTCTTCTTGATATTAAAACCAAGCCTAATCTCAAGGAAAGGTGGAAACAGGCTTCAGATCCTTCGAAAGACTCCTTCTTTATGCCGAAGTTTACCGGGATCTCGCTAGCCCTTACTGAAATTCGTGGCTCTTGGCTCTGAAGTTCGGTAGCACCTCCTCGTCTTGATAATAATTCACCCCCCCTGAAAGAAGACCCTAGGTTTGTATTTATAGGGCTTCGGATACGGTTATTTGGATAAGAATGAGGGATTTGGTCATATCTTCAGTTGACAACGGCCTAACCACATTTGGATATGATATCAAGGCAGTTGTAGAGGTTTTGGAACAGAAGAAACTGAGCGAAACAACCTAAAACGCATTTTTGGGCAATCGGTGTGTGCGGCACGTCCTGGTGTCTCACGGGGGCGCAGGACAGGTCGAGCTGTCTCGACCTTGGCCGAGACAGCCACAACTATCTTATCTTAGCCTGGGACGAGACAGCAGGCCTGTCTCAGCCCGCTTGCCGAGATATAACTGTCTCGACCTTGGCCGAGACAGGTTGGCCCGTCTCGGCCTTTGCCGACGGGCCTTTTCCGAACCCATCTGGGCAATTGCTTGATTCCCTGTTTTGGCATTTTTCAACTTTTTCGGACTTATATTTTTCACCGTTTTGCGTATCTTGTCATTTGGTTGACTTGTACACCTTGTTGACTTGCTTCGTGTGCTCGTTAGCTTCTTTACGGCTTTGGATGATCCTCTTTGACTCGGATAATCCTCTCCGACTTAGATAATGACGTTCATCGTCTTCTCTTCATCTCGAGCTATATTTGGACACCTATAGACATTTTAGACGCCTACAAGACCCTCTTTCTCCTTATCTGTTTATTCTAGGAATGGAGTACCTATCAAGGAAGTTGGGGATGCTACAGAATGACAGATTTTTTATGTTCCATCCAAAGTGTAGACAGCTCAAAATTACACACCTAATATTTGTAGATGATCTTCTCCTATTTGCCAAGGGTGATGTTTATTCTGTGCACAAATTTTTTCAATGTGTAAAAGAGTTCAATGATGTCTCTGGTCTTGAGGCTAATCCAGAGAAATGCTCTGTTTTCTATGGTGGTGTAGATGATTCAGTCAAATCCTCCATTAACAACGATTTGGGTTTCTCTGAAGGTGTTATGCCCATTAAGTACTTGGGAGTTCCTCTCACAACCAAAAAATTGTCTTACATGGACTGTAATCCCCTCCTCTCAAAGATCACAGGACAATTTCAAAAATGGTTGAATCATGGAAATCTATCTTATACAGGAAGATTGCAAATAATAAAGAGTGTAATCCTTGGTGTTCAAATATTCTGGACATCAAATTATATTCTTCCAGCCAGTGTTCTCCAGGAAATGGATGGTCTATGCAGGAGATTCTTGTGGGGGAAATCAGGTCAAAATCTCAGAATTCCTCTGGTTGCATGGGAGAGAGTGTGAATGGAGAGGAAACAAGGAGGGTTAGGGATTTTTTCATCCCCTAGTTGGAATACTGCATCTGCTCTGAAATGCATATGGGATATTCATGTCAACAAGGAGTCTCTGTGGATTAAATGGATACATGGTAACTATTTAAAACATGCGGATATTTGGCAGGTCAGAGCTAGAGCTAGTGACTCTTGGTTGTGGAAACAATTGATAAAAGTAAGGGATAAAGCTTTGGTTTTGTATGGTGGAGTGGAAAATTTAAAATGTTTGATCTGTTCATGCTACAAGGATGCAAAAATAAAGCTGTATGCCCTATATCATGTAATACATTCTACTGCAAATAATGTGTCATGGTTCAAGACAGTCTGGGGGGGGGATTAAACATTTCTAAACATTCATTTGATGTTGGCTTGCATTTCAGGATAGACTGATCACGCAGGACATGCTTCTTAGGAGAGGTGTCATCAATGCAAATTCCTGTCTTCTTTGCTCTGGTGCAGCCAGTGAAACAAGAAATCACTTGTTCTTTGAGTGTGTTTTTTCGGCAAATGTCTTGAATTGTATCATGGGTTGGCTAAACTTTAAATGGAGGTATTGCAATTGGTTACAGATTGTGAACTGGTATGCTTACAGGTTAAAGGGTAGGGGGTTCAAGCAATATCTCAAGAAGATGGTTTTGATTACCACTATATATTTCATTTGGAGAGAGCGGAACTTGAGGCTCTTTTAGCAGAAGGCTAGAAGTCCTAAAGTTTTGATTAGAGAAATCAAATTTGATGTTTTGACATCCATTCTCAACAGCCCTTCAATTGCAAGCAGTGATCTTGCTTTATGTCTGTCTGTTCTTTGAGTATCTGGTTTTTCGGATATTCATTTAGCAATCTTCTTTTGTAATCTCAGTTGAAGAATACTGAGTATCTGATGTACATACATTTTCATACTTGGTTGGTGAATAAAATTTTTTCATTGCAAAAAAAAATGTAAACCAATGAATTCTAGCCTTCTAATGTAAGTAAGAGTTTTCACATTTGAGCATATACATGAATTCCTTTGCTTCTTTACATTTCTGCAGTTTCATACTCCTATTTGTAGGATCCTGTGAGAGAAGTTTTGGACTAGCAAAGAACTTTTCTCTAACTTTATCAACCCTCACTCCAATACCACCAAAATGGATCTTGTTAAATTTCTTGAAGCTTTTTTGACAAATTTTAACTTCTACACAACTTGATACATCTTAAATCTTGAAACATGGATACTCTAATCCTATTAAACAGTTGAGAAGAAAAGCTACAAACTAAGTTGGTTCATGAAAACTGACAAGTGCAGGTGAATGATCAGAAATTCCTGCAGGTAAGAGTTCTGTATCTAAGTAGGGAAAACTGTCCGGTTATTTTGCATTGATAAGAACCCTATCCAGTTTATTAAAAATATGGTTATTGTTCCAAGAAAACTAGTAACCTTTATATACCAAATCATTCAACTTTGCATCCTTCATAAGACTTTAAAGTTCAATTAGATCATCTCTATGCACATGCCTTCCTTGAGATCTTTCTTCAATAGCTCTAACACAGTTAAAATCTCCAAGAAGCACCCATCGATAGTTCATTGTATCATCACAAGCTCTGGTATCTTTCCATAAAGAAACTCTCTGGAGACAAGTATTGTACCCACATATAAAGGTAACTAAAAAGAGACATGAGGAAGATTTATCTCGTACGTATCAAACCATGAACAAGTCGAGATGTAGAAGCCATAACTTATAGCTGAATCAAATTTACCATAGAGATGTTTATTTAGTCTCTATGTCATTATTAGCTTTAATCAAAACCTTAGCATCATTTTTTTTATTAGGTTAAGTCCCCTAATATTCCAGCATGCAAAAGGTTTCATTCAGGGTTTTTTGGAGTGTTAGGTCTCCAGCTTCTCATATTTGCACTACATGTATAGTTTGACTTCCTCTCCCCTTTTAGTAGCAGGGGCTCTAGCAGATAACTCAACGTTTTTTCCACCCCCATCCTGAACATGAAGAGACTAAAAATATATATATATATTTTGGCTAGTGATAGGTGAAGCTCTAGCTCTTTCCTTATCCTAATTAAGGTTGTTGCCAAGAGTTGTCAGGACGTCTAATCTATTGATCTGTGTTTGAGCTTGAATATTGTTTTGCAACACTAAAAAGTTTCCTGAACGATAGCAGGATTTGTAGTAGGGGTTTCCAAATTTCCCGTGACGCTATCACCAACATTGACTACATTCACCTCATCACCAGCTTGACTATCTGTAGGATTTTCACTAAAACTTGTCATGTTTATATCAGTAGTTAGAGTCTTCACTTTTGTGACCACGTGTCATGTATTTAGAAAATCTTGGTGGTATCAATTTATATTCCACCTTTTGATTAAATTCTGTGCCACTAGAATCTTTAAGTCGTAAGCATTGTTGGTAGCTCAAACTCAGCTTTAGTTCCAGTACAATTTTTTACAAAGAAAATTCTACCCTTTTTAGCTATAATTCTACTAGAACGAATTGGGTTTTCCATAGATATAGCTCAAGATTAGAGAATTTAACTAATAGGGTAGAAGCCGTATTAAGATCATCCAAATTTATATCTAGGCCAAGGATAAAGGAGAAACATTTATTATCAAAAAAAGTCCAAGGTCCCTTCCCCAAAATAGCCAACCAATCAGCAGTTGATTCAAATTTTAAAAAGATAAACGCCAGAATCCATACCTAAAACCCTAACCCTAACCAACACCAGTCTAATATTTGTCGATGAAGCCCTGGATTGCTCCGAACAGCGTCTCGAAGCCGAATACATAGCCGATAAGCACGGAGCTCGATTCATTTGTTAGAATTTCTCACCAACTTAGATTGTTCTAGAACAACTTTTTAGAACTCCTTTCTAGTAACATCCTACAAAATATCTACCAAGAAGTTTCTAGGAAGATATAAGTGTATGACTAGTATTTATTCTTCTAGAAACTTCTTAGTAATATATGGCTAGGATTGACTTTTCCACACACTTCCTAGTCCTCTTAAACAAATATAAATAGGGGTCTTGAGCTATCATTTGGGCAAGCAAGCAAGCAAGAAGTGAGCTTGAGAGTTTGAGTGTGTAGTGTAGGCTTGTGTGAGTGTCCACAAAAAAATAAAAGAGTTGTGTGAAAGTGATGTGTTATTGTAAGAGCAAGTGTTGTACTCTCTAGTGTTCTATCAATAAAAAATTTCCTTTGTGTAGAGGGGTTGTATTCTACAAATTCCATCAAAGTGGTATCAGAACCCCGTTTGATCTAGCCGGGCCAATCGAAGGTGCTCGTGTACGAGATGGCGAACATGATCCAGCCACAGATTCCAAAGCTGATGAAGACCAATTACGACAACTGGAGTATCCAGATGAAAGTCTTGCTCGGCTCGCAAGACTTGTGGGAGTTTGTGGAGAATGGCTACACTGAACTGAAGTCACCTGCAGTAGAAGCAACTCTCACCGCCACACAGAAGAGTGAGCTGAAGGAGGTCAGAAAAAGAGACAAAAAGGCTTTGTTCCTAATATTCCAAGGCATAGATGAATCAGCGTTTGAGAAGATTTTCAACGCCCTGTCCTCTAAAGAAGCATGAGAGATTTTACAAAAATCCTATCAAGGTGTGGAAAGAGCAAAAAAGGTACGCCTCCAAGCATTAAGAGTTGAATTTGAAAATTTAAAGATGAAATCTACAGAATCAATATCAGATTATTTTAGTAGAGTTCAGACAATAACTAATCAAATAAAGAGAAATGGAGAAGCAATTAATGATGTAAGAATTATGGAGAAGATACTTAGGACTTTAGACTCTAAATTCAAATATATTATTCCGGTAATACAAGAGTCTAAAGATCTTTCTGAAGTTTCTATTGCTGAGCTGAAAGGTTCTCTACAAGCTTATGAACAAGATATAAACATCAGTACAAATCAAGCGGAGAATCTAGAGCAAGCCTTGCAGAGTAAGATGACTATCAAAGAAGATAGTCGAAGAGGACATGGAGGCTACAAAGGCAGAGACTTTTTTCGAGGTGGCTCAAACTTCCAGCAAGGTCTTAGGAGACAGTACCAAGGAGGCCATGAAAATCAAGATCAAAATGGAGATCGTGAACGATCGTTCGATCGAGGATGAGGTCATGGCGCACGAGGACGAGGACAAGGAAGAAGTTACTAAGAGGACAGATCTCAGCCACAATGTTACAAATGCAAGAGATACAGCCATCTCAACTACGAATGTTGGGAGAAATCAAATCAAGTGGTAGAAATAAGTAACTTTGTAGAAAAGGAGCAGCCAGACACTTCAACAGCCCTGCTGACGTGCCAGGAGAGTGAAAACAAAAATCAAGATATCTGGTATCTGGATTCAGGTGCCAGTAACCACATGTGCGGCATCAAGGAGTTCTTTACTGAGCTGAACGAGACGGTGCAAGGAGATGTCACTTTTGGAGACCAGTCAAAGATTCCAGTAAAGGGCAAAGGCAAGATAATGATCCAAACAAAGACGGACGTGAACATGTACATCTCTGACATCTACTATGTTCTAGAATTACGAAATAATATTTTGAGTGTAGGTCAGCTCCTTGAAAGAGGCTATGAGATACATCTAAAGACCTTGCCCTCACTACTAAGAACAAAATGAAGTTATTGCAAAGGTGAACATGTCTAGAAATAGACTGTTTACCTTAAATATTCATGCTGACTCTGTCAAGTGCCTGAAGATAATCATAAAAGATGAGACTTGGCTCTGGCATCTACGATTCAGGCATCTCGCATTCAGTGGCATGAATCTTCTGTGGAAGGAGAAAATGGTGAAAGGACTGCCGCAGATCAACCATGTGAACCAGCTATGCGAAGGCTGTATGAAGGGAAAGCAACATAAAAGAAGTTTTGAAGTTGGAAAGTCTAGACGAGCAACGAAGTTGCTACAACTGGTACATACAGATATTGTGGGACCATTTGAAATCATTTCACTTGGAGGAAATCGGTACTTTCTCA